AAAGTCTTCTTTGTCTTATTTCAGCTAGGATTAAAGCAGCTTTTATTAAAAAATAAATAAAAAAAATTTTAGGCACAAATTTATTAGCCCAAATTTGCAATATTTTTGTTCATTAGTCCACAGAACAAACCATCGTTATACAATAACTTGCTTAATTACCCTAACCTGCCAAGTTAACCTAATTAACCTAGTTAAGCCTTTAAATGCTCCTTTAAGTTGTATAAAATGTCTTTAAAAAATCTAGTCAAATATTATTCACAGTCATCATGATAAAGAAAAACTAAATCAGTTATTTGAAATGAGTTATTTAAAACTATTATAGAAATATGTTGAAAAAAATTTTTCCCCCTTAAACAGAAATTGGGGAAAAAACAGGGGGCTAATAATTCAGGAGGGCTAATAGTTACGACTTCGACTGTATATCTTTATTCTAAAGCAGATACACATGCCCCACACTTTATGCCACTGTGGGCCCAGATACCGGGGTGAAATGTGGGGCACGTGTGGGCCCCCCTTGGGACAGCCCAAAGGTGTGGGCTGACTGTGGGATAACCCGCTCTGATTAGTGTGGGATAGCCCACAGTCAGCCCACACTTTTGGGCTGTCCCAAAGGGGCCCCACACCTGCCCCACAGTGTGGGGCCCACGCGTGCCCACGTGCACATTTTACGCCGGTATCTGGGCCCACTATATATGTAGTCTGAAATGTTTTGACCTCATAACTTTGCGCTAGACTGTCATACAGACTTAAGTTTGGGCTCATTTAAGTCAAACTACCAATCTGCCAATCACTGATCACCATACAACTTACTAGCCACACCCTAGCAACCACATACGGCACCCTAGCAACTGTCCCATAGACTTCCATTGTAAAAAAACCTGCCATTTACTTACATTGGACATACTAACAACATACTAATCCATACTAGAAAAATGCTAACATTATACCAATCCTTACTAAAAAAAAAATACTAAACATGCTAATTCATACTAAATTCATGCTAACAACATGCTAGTTTATACTAGAAACATTCTAGCAACATGCTTCTTCACACTACAACCATAATAAATGGTTGTTATGTTAATGTTATTATCAATGATGACAGCATTTGTTTTGCCTAATATGATTAGGATGAATAGCTTTCAGGAATCTTCGATGAATCAAATGTTAAAAGAACAGGATTTTGAAACTTTTATTTATTTATTTAAACCATTTCTAGCAATCTAGCATTCATTTTGCAGACACTTTTGATTTTAATATATGCTTGCTTAAATATATGTGCTATTGAATATTTTGATAGCTTTAACTTTGATAGCTTTAACTAAACGTGTTCAAATAGTGCTATTTCACCCTTCAGGTGTTATTAGATGCACGTATTCTGTATTTACAGAGGACGTGTAATAGCGCCCCTTTCTGAATAGCAGTGCAAACATGGAATACCGGAACAATCCATCAATGGGAAGGAAACATTGTGTCACAAATGACAGATAATTCTATCAACGGCAGCTAAAACCTGAATTGTCTTATTCAGTTAGCTTCTCACGAGGATTGACTTTAAAGACTGTATCTTGAGTTAACCTTGGTTTGAGGGTGTTTTCATTCTCTTATATGGTGATTTTTAAGTCCTAATTTGGCCACAACTTTCATCAAACGGAATGATTTTTGGTGACAAATCATATTTTGACACATATTTTGGGAAAATGCTTTAGAAAATTAAAAGAAAAAAATCAACAATACACTCTGCGAGAATTGTCTAATCTTTTGTTATGTTTGTGGCTGTTGTTGTCCCATCGAGTTCCATGATAATGACATTTTTTGATTGCAAAGCCATGACAGCATATAATCATGCATTCTTGATGCTTGTTGCTGGATTTTCCTGTTGGAAAGAGGTACAATTTGTCATTTTTATTATTGATCATCAGTTGCAGTGCAAAAAAAAAATTGGTTTCTGCCTTCTATATGGCGTATTGTGTGTGTGCGCGTGTGTGTGTGTGTGTGTGTGTGTGTGTGTGTGTGTGTGTGTGTGTGTGTGTGTGTGTGTGGGAGGGAGGGAGAGATAGAAAGAGAGAGAGAGAGAGAGAGAGAGAGAGAGACTGTTGCACACTTATCTTGATATGTCAGTAAAAATCAAAATAAGCAGTTCAGCCCTCAGAACATAGTAAACAGAGTAAGTGTATTTGTTCACACACTGTTATCTGCCGCTTTACTCCACAGAACTACATATAAAAGCCAGAGACTTTTTTTATGCACCGGCCTATTTAAAAGGATAATGCTGCCAACTGATGATCAACAGTAAAATTGACACATTTTACCTCTTCCCAACAGGGAAAACCAGCAACAATCAAGAATGCTTGATTAAATGCTGCCATGGCTTTGCAATTAAAAAAAGTCATTATTATGGAAGTCAATGGAGCAAAAACAGCAACTAACATAACAAAAGGGTAGCCAATTTAAACAGTACTCAAGGGTTAAACAATTATCTAAAATGTTAATGTTTTATATTAAAAAGGTATTATTGTCCAGCCTCCAGATTGTCCATAAACATGTATTGTGTGCAGGTGTCACAGTGTACGTGGATTGAGAGAAAAATCGCTGCTACTCTGTTTGGAGAACCGCCCAGTGCCACCGTCCAGGACGCCCTGCAGAACTTCCTCAAGGTGCGATGACTGGGCCAAACTAAAAAAACAAAACAGTTGATGAAATGTATCAAATCATTATCATTTAAATGGTAAATGGACACTTATTTTACATTTATCACAGAAATACTAAGATGATAAGATAATAAAATGCCTCTATTTGTTTTAAATTTGGTTAATTTCTTAAATTAACACCCATTTGTTCATCCATTTTTATCAAGACGTGTTAATTGTATTTTGTTAGACATGTCACAATCTATTTTTATCTATTTTTTGTTGTATGATATATTGCTCTAAAATATATTGAGATAAATCATATTATTGTCATTTTAAGGCCTTTTTATGCCACTTACTATATAATGCCATAGTGCCAATGTATTATCTTCATAATGCATGTAAACTCTCCAAAGAGCACATAATATTTTAATCTTAAGGATATTTCATTTAATTAAAGTCATTTTAACAATTTAATTATTAGGCATTAGGGGTGTCACGATTTAGATTTTTAATCGAAATCGATCGAAATTTATGCTCAATTTCGATTATCGAATCAAAAAATAGATTCATCGATGCTGCCACGCCCCCATGTCACGTCAGCTTGGCTTGCCAAGCGGGAAAAAACAGGCTTGTTGAAGTGCTTGTTAAACTGCAGAAGCAGGAGACCCATCGACAGAACTTAAACCCTCTCCTCTTTCAATGAAGTCACCGGTGTGTAAGCATTTTGGATTTCCAGTGAGTTATGTTGACAATGTTCGTGTTGTCGTCAAAAAAAACACAGTTTTGCAAGCCCTGCTATGTACGTATTATGTACGGTTCGTCCAATAGACAACACCGGCATCGCGATCTTCCGCCCGCCCCCGTTGCTAATCCTGTTGTAATACTGTTGGCTGGTTCCTGTTGGTTGTGCGTCTTTTTTACCGACGCCATTATAACGACACAGATCACTGCCTATTCACGAGTCCCACAGAAAAAGTGATTGACAGGTGGTAATCATGTGTGTTTCTTACCTTTATTCATTTACTGTATGATTTTGTTTATGGGTAAAACAAAGACCATGCAGGTCAATTAGTTTAAACGGTAGGCTACAAATAATTAATTGGTCATTAATTAATTCATTATTCATAATCGAAAATCGAATCGAATCGTGCCTTTAGAATCGAAAATGTAATCGAATCGAAGATTTGGAGGATCGTGACACCCTTATTAGGCATGAGTCAGAATGTGAAAAATCTTATCCTAAATAATAATAATAATACTAATTCCTTACATTTATATAGCGCATTTCTGGCCACTCAAAGCACTTTACACAAGGGGGGGGGTTGGGGGTCATTCACCACCAGTGCGCAGCATCCACCTGGATGACACGCCGGCAGCCATTTTACGCCAGACCGCACAACAGCTGATTGGTGAAGAGGAGACAGAGTGATGAAGCCAATTATGATATGGGTAGGGTTAGGAGGCCTTGATGGACAGAGGCCAGTGGGCAGATTTGGCCAGGATGCCAGGGTTAAACCCCTACTCTTTTCGAAGGACATCCTGGGATTTTTAACGACCACAGAGAGTCGGGACCTCGGTTTAACGTCTCATTTGAAAGACGGCGCTCACTGAGCAGTATAGCGTCCCCGTCACTATACTGGGGCATTAGGACCCACTCAGACCGCAGGTTGGGCACCCCCTGTTGGCCACACCACTTCCGGCAGCAACCAAGCTTTCCCATGTGGTCTCCCATCAAGGTACTGACCGGACGCAGCCCTGCTTAGCTTCAGTGGGCGATCATGTGAAAGTTGCAGAGAGCTGATACTAACATCTAAACAACTTTGTTTGGTAACACTTTATTTTGATGGTCCATTTGAGTAATAGTAGACTGTCTGCTTAATATCTGTTGATACTGCTCTTTCAACAGACATTTAACTTGGCTTCAGTGGGCGATCATGTGAGAGTTGCAGAGAGCTAGATGCTGGCTTTTAAAATAATAATAATAATAATAGTAATAATAATAGTAATGATAATGATGATAATAATAATAATAATAATAATAATTAATAAATAAATAATAAATGTAATTAAAAAGTGCATGGTAAAAAAGTAACAGAGTCTGCAATATCTGCTACCAGATTTAGTTTTAGTTGTCAGACACTCACATAAAATATACTAAAGTAATTTATAGTAAATGCTATAGTTTTTTAACCATACTGACACTAACACCTCTAATAGAGATTGAGATGTTACACAATCATCTAAAATATGGCCAGAATTGTTTTTTTTTTTTTACGTAGGTCATATAAGTGCGATAAGTGCATATATTGATTATTGTGACAGGCCTATATCTTTTGCTTTTGCTGCTTCAACAAGCTCACCAATAAACTCCTTCAATCCAACTTTCCAGCATACGTTGTGCAGAGTATTGCATAGCATTTGCTGCAGAAGGATTTGTCTTAAGGGGTCCCTGTGTAAACCGCAATCCCCTGTTGATTTATGAAAGAGCCTGACCTGTGCTCCTACATTCAGTGTTTGTACATAAATGGCCTTCTAATCTGATGTTCTCCTTTGTATCTCACCCATCAGTTCTTGTTTAAGAGGTCTGTGCTGAGACTTGTTTTACCCTGCCAAGACAACATAACATTCTGGAAAGTTTAAGTGTGACTGATTAAACAAGAGAAACACAATTAAGTCATTAATTAATGCTTTAATTTTGAACATGAATAAGTTAATTATTATAAAGCAAATATTATCCAAATAGCATGATTCATCTTTAAACACACACACACACACACACACACACACACACACACACAATGAACTCCCTTCATCCAGCTTTATGTGCTACGTGACCAGAAGTAAAGCATGTGGAAACCCCCTTCATTGAAGTGGAATTTTGGCTTTACCTGTTGCTAGAACAGTAAAATCAACCATAGCTACAGCCATCAATCTTCTTACATAAACATATTTAGTTGTAGGTAACATAACTGCTATTTGACAGTAAAGACTGTATAAAATATATATATATGTGTGTTTGATTAATTTCAGACCCAAGCATGCTTATTTTTGGTGTAAATAATATTTAGAAGAGTTATATTAGCATAAATAAAATTCAGAAATCTTTTTTCATTATTTTTTAGATTTAAAATGTACAAAAGGAACGCTTCAGTACTCAATGTGAAAACATGATTACTGCAAATTGCACAAAAAAAGTTTCCACAAACCGTGGTATTTTGCAATTGTACAGTGCACAAAAAAAAAAAACATGAATGAAAAAATAATGAAAATGACAACAAAAAATGGGTTTTTGCAAATAAACTTCATGCTTTAAATAGGAAGCTTTGTTGGTTTTATATAATAAGGATTTTTTTCAATGTGCAAATCATTACTTAATAAATGAAATTAAAAAATAAAACATTTAAATAAATAAATATACAGTGCATCCGGAAAGTATTCATAGCAGTTTTCCACTTTTTTCTATGTTACAACCTTATTCCAAAATGGATTAAATTCAATTATTTAATAACATTTTACACACAATACCCCATATTGACAATGTGTAAGAATATTTTTTGAAATTGTTGCAAATTTATTAAAAGTTAAAAAAAATCACTTGTACATCAGTATTCACAGCCTTTGGAGTGAAGCTCTAAATTGAGCTCAGGTACATTCTGTTTCCACTGATCATTCTTGAGATGTTTCAGCAGCTTATTGAAGTTCACCTGTGATTTATTCAGTTGATTGGGCATGATTTAAAAGGCATACACCTGTCTATATAAGGTCCCAGGGTTGACAGTGCATGTCAAAGCACAAACCAAGCATAAAGACAAAGAAATTGTCTGTAGACCTCCGAGACAGGATTGTCTCGAGGGACAAGCCTGGGGAAGGTTTCAGAAAAATTTCTGCTGCTCCAAAAGTTCCAATGAGCACAGTGGCCTCCATCATTGGTAAGTAGACGGTGTTTGGAATCACCAGGACTCTTCCTAGTGCTGGCCGGCCATCTAAGCCGAGTGATCGGGGGAAAAAGGCCTTAGTCAGGGAGCTGATCAATAAACCCAATGGTCACTCTGTCTGAGCTCCTGTGTTCTTCTGTGGAGAGAGGAGAACCTTACAGAAGGACAACCATCTGTGCAGCAATCCACCAATCAGGCATGTATGGTAGAGTGGCCAGACAGAAGCCAGACCATAATAAACAAAACTGTCTGATCTGATGAGACTAAAATTTAAAATTGAATTCTTTGAAGTGAATGCCATAAGTTATGTTTGGAGAAAATCAGGCAGTGTCATCACCAGGCTAATACCATCCCTACAATGAAGCATGGGGGTGGCAGCATCATGCATTGGGGATGTTGTTTTTTTGCAGCAGGAACTGGATGACTAGTCAGGATAGAAAGAAAGATGAATGCAGCAATGTACAAAGACATCCTAAATGAAAACCTGCCTCAGAGTGCTCTTGACCTCAGACTGGAGTGATGGTTCATCTTCCAGTAGGAAAACGACCCAAAGCACACTGCCAAAATATCAATGGAGTGGCTTCACTACAACTCAGAAAATGGCTGTACATCGTCGCTTCCCATCCAACCTGATAGAGCTTGAGAGGTACTGCAAAGGGGAATGGGCAAAAATTCCCAAAGGCAGGTGTGCAAAGCTTGTTGCATCATATTTAAAAAGATTTAAGGCTGTTATTGCTGCCAAAGGTGCATCAACAAAGTATTGAGCAAAGGCTATGAATACTTCTGTACATGTGATTTTCCAGCTTTTTTATTTTTAAAAGATTTGCAACAATTTCAAAAAAATTTTTTAACATTGTCATTATGG